GTGCCGGCGTGCCAGCCGAGGTAGTGCTAAGGGGGAGGAGGAAGGCAGACGGTCGGTTGACGCGGCTGCGTCGCGCCCAAACACCTTCAAAGCGCTGAAGACGAAGAAAAATAAGATAAGAAACCATTTTCAGAAGCCTCTAATTGTTTGGTTTTTGATCTTGTTGTTCTTTATTTTCAGCCCTTCGAAAGGGCTTGGACGCGGCGCGACCGCGCTGATGGACCGTGTGCCTCCCTCCTCCCCCCTAGCACTACCTCGCCTGGCACTCCGGCACGCCGGCTCACGTTGACGGACTATGAAAGCAGCCAGTCAGCGTCGAGTATGGTTCACGCGGCACATTCCTGACCAGCTGGTGTAAAGCTAGTAGTGACAAATACTAATCGGTTGAAGATGCGGCTATGACCGCCAAGAGGATAGGCCTCTATAATACTCCTTCCTTCACCCTCATGCTACGTTGTATGCTGTGGGAAGAGTAAAAAGATGTAATAAAAGACAAAAAAAGAAGTGTTGTTCATTTCGTTTGCAAAGAAAATCACCCAGATTCTGCTTCGTTCTCCACTGCATACGCTCAGGCGAATCATTAAAGGTCGGCTGTATGGCATCGAATTCGAGATCGTACCATTTTGGAGGGATGGCAGCTACCTTAAGATAATTTCAAATGCTTGAGAGAATTAATGTAAAGTGTTGCGCCGTTATTAGCTTACACGGATAGAGGACAATCTCATGAATACCTACCTGCACAGTTTCACTTCTTAAAGCCGCAATTTGAAATTAGAGAGAGCTCAAATACCACACCCACACCGCCAACCGGCCACTCCCCAAGCATGGACCACGCCCCTACCTCCACAGACTACCAACCAACGAGGAATAATACGTGGACTCACGACCACAGGAGATAAGGACTTTCAGAAAATGGACGAGGGAAAAGTTTTGGAAGAGTCTCGTTGACTAGGCCAATGAGATACAGACTTTGAATTGTGAACAAAGGAAGTAGGCCCTAACTTCTAGTTTTGTCCGAACCAATTCCTGGTTAACAGACAAACCACTTTCTGCTTTCCTCACTGTCGAATCATGGTCGGTGTCGACGCATTATCCTACTTATACAATCGGCTAAGTCCATCTGTTGGTGTGTTTGTGTGTGTATGTGTGTCTGTCTGACCAGAAATTCAGAAATCCTGTCCCCGTGGACCAAAAGCGTTCAAATTCAGTAGGAGTTCAGGCGGCAGGATGGAAACGCTTATGGTGAACAGCAGGACCAGACTCCACCCACAATGGGAGGACTTTGAGCGAAAATTCATAACTTCTGTTGCCATGCACCTAAAGTATTCAAATTTTGTCGAAGTAGAAGCGGCAGGACAATAGCGGTAGGAACACTTATTATAGGTGGCAGGAAAGAACCTCGCTCACAGGGGCGGGGTTTGCGCGAAAATTGACGATTTTGATATAGGTCGTTCAAAGTATTCCAATTGCAAGGGAAGTTCACGGAGGTAAGCTTCCTTAGCCCATCTGTCCTTTTTTTTCTCCGAATAACCGCTTGTATGATATTATACGGTGTTCTTACCGGGCACATCGAAGATGGCTCACAGAAAAAATCGCTCCCAATTCGCAGCTAATACTGATTTCAAGGAAAAAGGTGAATCCGAAGAGTTATTTACGCGTAGCGAATTTCTTACAGGAAGGAGGACCGGGGGACTCCATAAGAAGGAGGGAAGCCAGGCGTTACCAACTGGTTTGACAATATCTCTCATCTTTATATCACGGACTCCTGTCTCACGGGGCCCAAGTCACTGCTAGATTATCTATGCACTACTAGTCAGTAATTTCAACCTCTCTCTTCTCTCCATGTGCCTTCAGACCAACCTCCAGCAATCCCGTTTGGATTTCGTTGGCGAATTCTCCTAATATATCTTCTATCATAGAGTTAAAGGAATCCACCGCTGTGTCGATGAAAGCAAACATAACAATGAAGACCACATCATGTCTGTAAATAGAGGTTTTTTTGCTCTTTCAGGAGCTGCGAAGCTAACGAAGTCGAATGACAACATGAGCCTTAAGGGTGGCCTGTATTCGAGATACCTGAACTCCTCTTCAAGATTACTCAAACTTAAAAGTGAATGCAATGTCCTGAAAATGTATGCTTCTTTACGCAAAACGACTGGTATGCAGAAGGCCTGGAAACAATCTTTATAACATTATTTTTGTACAGCAATGCATCAAACTAACGACAATGCATTAAGATGGGACGTCAAAAGTTGGTTACCGCTCAGTTTTTGAGCAAACCTATTCGAAGGCCCCTTCGTACATCCTATTGGGAGAAAGAATTTCGCATTTATGGAGATTCCTTGAGCCTGATTCCATGATGGCTAGTTTCTTCTTCTAGTTTTTTCATTCCCCGTTCTTTCGGAATTAACAATTGGAGATGAACTCGAGTGGGGTTTCATTTTTTAAAGAGAAGTACAATATTTTCCGAAAAGGAAGCTAATCGTTGATGTGACTCTCAGTACTTCGCAGCTTCTTCGACATGATGCAGTATTCGACTCTACAGCCAAATAGGCAGCGAGTAGTACCAATGTCATATTAGGATGGCGTAACTTCTCCCCGAATTCCCACGACCTGCCGCAGTGGTTCCGGGGCGTATTCTCCGTATCCTTCCACAGCGAATTCGAATCTCTCCCTTCGCAACGCGATCGTGTGCGGCGAGCACGACACGCCGTTCGGGAATAAGATACTAGACCCGTCATATTACGTGGATGGTGAGGCCACAGAATCTAGGAAGTGATCGATTTGTTGCCGTCGCGGACAGTTGCCTCGTTATTGCAGTTCCACCGCTCTTCGTACAGCTTGATCGATATGCGATTACTATTTTCAAGATGATTCTGCTGTTACATCTTTTGTTCTTGTACTCTTTAATCGGTGCGTTGCTTCCGCTTTATTCCGCTACGACCTTTTGCGCGCGACATCGCTCTCGCCGCGAAGCGACTACTTCGATTCAACTGCACCACACCTCAGATTCCTATATGAGATAGAAAAAGGACCAAAGTGAGTCTAAATCTTTTACCATTCAAATATTGAGACATAGGATTATTATATAACGATATTTTGTGTTACAATGTTGAAGGGGCTCACGATTTTCCGCCGAGTCTCATTTCTCTGAGTGAACAGCAATGGTTCCAGTGACCTTGCGTCCACTGATGCTAAATGTGGTAAGAGGGAGAGTGGGGGTAGATTCGATCCAAGCAGATCTTCCACGAGTTTTTTCTCCAATTTGTCAGCCTGTCAATAGTACTTTTATATTAATAATTTGTAGTAATTGATTGTTCATCAGTATACATCTATAGTCAGCTGATACAGTCACCTTTTCATCTTTGCCCCACCACTTTTTTGGACTGAACCTTAAGAGGGAGGAACACCAGAGTGGGTGAGTCAAATCGATGCCCAGTTCTTACCGTCTCAACTTTTTGTACGATGAAATCATCTCACCCACCTCGGTGATCTTTACCTACCAGCAATAAGGCTTATGCAAAAAGTAGATCCTTTCGGCCAAGAGCCTTATCTTAGTGCAGGCACAAGTAAGTCATCTACCCCTCTTTCTTCGCGCTCTAAGGCTCATAGGTTCGGAAAAAGCGATTCGGCCACATCCTTTATCCGGGCAACGAAACTTTTCCTCAAATTCCCACGGCGTGCGGTTCCGCGGCGACTCTCCGTATCCTTCTATTGGGGTTTCGAATCTTTCCCTTCATAGCACGCGATAGCGTGCGGCTCGCGCGACACGCCGTTCAAGGAGTAGGTGCCAGATCCCCTCTACCCTCTCCCACTGTTTTCACTTCCCGTACCATACAAGGCACTGCTGCTCGAGTGTATACGAGGCCATAAGCCCTGTCCTCACAGTACCGAAGCGCATCTGCCCTGATCAGGGGTGTAGGTTTTTCTACACAAAGGGTGTGCACCACTCGTCGCATCCGATCGGGCACCCTAAAGGTGAGATTTCAATACATAATGAGATATTGAGATGATTGCCGCGAAACCACTACCGCTGGCCAAGCATATTCGGGTATGGCGCCATCCTAGACCACACGCGGCTGCCGTTGGATCGATACCGACACTTTGGCTGTAATGCTGGGCCGGTGGGAGTCGCGCACAGCTTGTGTTCAGCGTGAACAAAAAATCATTCACTCGTGTGATATTTTCGTTGGATTCATTGTCACAAGGTAAACCAGACGAGACATTCTTTCTAGGTAAATGCCTCCCCCCCCCCCCCCCCCCCCCCCCATGTTGGCTACGAGGTGATCTAGCTGATCCTCTAGACCACTCCCAATTGAAGAAGCTCATAATGTTATATCGATATTTTGAGGCGATTTCACAATTACTAGACCACTACTGAACACAACTACCTACCGTATGCTGGAGGAATACAGAGCTGAGCAACCGATTTCCGGCAATTTCTTTCTCAATGAGATTTCCCTGAAAAATGATAGCATTTTCTGATTTAGATTGAGCTCATTCAGATCAAGAGAGTGGGAAATGCCGCCCACCAATCGCTGCCGAGATGGTTCATATGCTTCTGAGAAGAGCACCGTATCCAGGAGTAGGGCAATGTTTATAAAGCCAATACACACTACAAATGCCACTAACTTCCCAATATGATGACCAGACCTCATTACGTGTAGGTTCGATTCATGTCCTGAACTGATGGTCATGAAATTTTAAAACAGTGCTCATTGGGCATAGCCTCCCCTCGACTACGTTTTCAACAGCTCAACCTAACCATAAGCATGGAAATACGGTTGGAAGTGTTCCAAACTATTTGCTTCCGAAGTAGCGAGGATTCGTAGCTGAGAATGATTGCTTTAGAAACTTTTTCATTGCACTTACCGATGGAAAGGAACAACCGAAGATGATGAAGCGAGTGAATGATGTTGATGAGTTTCAGTGAGCTCGAGTTTTCATATCGTATCATAGCATCGATAAAGAGATGACGTGGAGAGAGCAGAAGCTTTTCATGTTCATATAACAGTGCTTTTCAGTGAGATATCTGACATTTTCACCTCAACAGTCAAAGGATGAAATGGCCGGGAGTTGCAGAATTGGATTAGCGAGCAGAGGGGCTGGTCGCAACACAAACTTTCGCCCGAATTGGCAATCCGAGTTCAAAAATTATTCGATAAGAATTCGTTATGGTATCCTGTTACTTCTACCTTCCTGGCTTCTTACTCCTTTCTACCTTGTGGAAATCAAGGGTCCGGCAAAAACTTAGAGAATGTACACAACGAGGGAGCGTACATGAGGAGTGCTATCACCGACATAACGAGATCTCGACGGTTAATTTACCTGTCCACACTGGTGCGCTTCTTTACTCGCGTCCGTCACTAGGTCAAGCCGCAGCCGTTGTTTGCGGCAGGTCAACCCGCGATACTTGACGGATGTCGTAGTTGTCAGTGGGGCATACGATCTGCGCTTGGTCCACGACTAACAGCTTAAAGAGAAAATAACACGGACAAAGCAAATTGCTCGCTCTACTGACACTTGGTGGTACAGTAAGGGGTATGTCGTTTGGCGCGATGGGCGGGTTCGCGCTGCCCATTTGAGGCGGTTCGCGGGGTGAACAACTCGTTCACATCGGGCAACCCTCTGTCTGTTCTCTCCAGCTGATAGAAACGCGATCAATGACGCTGCTACTATTAAACGCCGAGTTGCGAGCGTGCTTGTATTCTCTCTAAATGCATCACCCATTTGGCGCTTTTGGACAGTATCCATGGAGAAGGGGGACAAGAATAAAAAATCACGCAAAAGCGCCAAATGAATGATGTATGTAGGCAGAATACAAGAAGGTCCGCAAACTGGTGTCTAATAGTAGTGTCATTGATCGCGCTTCTATTAGCTGGAGAGGACAGACAGAGAGTTGTCCAATGTGGAAGAGTTGTTCACCCCGCAAACCGCCTCAAGTGGGCGGCGCGACACCGCCCATCGCGCCAAACGACCGTCTCCCTACAATAATGTCATCTCGAGACCTCAGTGGGGTGCGCTGCGCGCGAAGCGCGCGGGGTGACCTACTTTCGACAGGCGCGCGCACGGATGTTCTCCCAGTCCACCCAGTGATACCGACGTGAGCTTATCTTCGACAGACAATTTCACTCCAAGTAGATATGCATGGTTTCTCTCGAATGAAAAACGATGAACGACCGCTCTCGCTGTGCTGGGCTTTTCCCGCTCAAACTCTATTTTTAGAAGATACATGCTCTGAACAATCCCCGTTTGGAGGAGAGCTCTGCTCGTGATAGTCTGTCTTCTTGTTGCCCACAGTTCTTGGATTTCTTTTTTTGCCAGTGCCCCGACTTCAATGAGTTTATTGCTTTTTTTCGAACGTCGATGCAATGGATTCTCGCGATTCAATCGATCGCGCGTGGGCGGATGGTATCGACGGTAGATCAACTCGGACCATTGGGCAATAATTGAAGGAAGACCAAGACACAATCTTTTCGAATTTTTTTTCCCGAAACCACTCATGTACTCTTCTACAGAGGCTCGTGCTGACTGATTCCATGAACATGAATCTCTCTCCCAATTTTCGTTATTAAACGGAGAAAATGAAGCAGTCCTCTCGCGTAAACGACCTGGGAGCATTCCTTATTTTGATATTTTGGCACTTCTTTATTTCCAACTACACGTTCAGTTGAAATTTGTGATATTCTTGTTGGAGAGCATACGTGAAATATTTTACTGTGCAGAATGATTTTGGATTGCACCCAAAGGCAGCTTTTAGACATCGACGATGTCCGTCCGTCGGGGGACGGTCAAGTCGTGCGTCCGAGGGCGAATGCGGCTAATTGCGCGGCGAAATTCATACCTATTCTGACGACTTTAGCACCTATTACTGCGGCCCAATTTTGAAGTACAGTAGAATAGTAGGATCAGCTGACCTTACTAATCTATCCTACTTCAGATTCGGGCCCCAAGGATAGGCGCCGGAGTCGTCCAAATTCGCCACGAACTTCGCCGCCGCAATTTGCCGCGCGCAACCTCGGACGCACGACTTAACACACACCCCCGTCCGTCCGTCCGTTCCTTCAGCGCGCGGACGGCTGTTCTAGAATGGCGTTGGCAACGCTGGCACGTGATCTAACGTTGTCAACACCTTTCTAGAACTGCCGTCGCAACACGCGTTGAACGGACGGACGGGCGGACGGACGGTCGTCGAAGTCTGAAAGCAACCAATCCTCAAGATCGATTGTGGGTCGGAATCGTTGAGCTGTTTCCGTGACTAAGGATGCAATACTGAGAATGTTGGTGTACTGCTCGTCTACATTGTGGTGCTTTGCAAGGCCGCTGACTGGATTGACTAATTTTCGATTCTCCTTCGTGCCCCTCGGTCTCCAAAAGTAAAAGCGGAGCCTTTCTGCTATTAAGCAGTACACTTCATGCTGTTCTTTGTTTGATCTCCATTTCGTTTGAGAAATTTAGGAACACAGTGGGCCAACCAAATCACCTCCACACCCGAAAAGAGTTTGGTTTCATCAATTCAGAATCGTCAGAAAGAGTTAGATATGGGAAGTCGAGCCATCGACTGCGGTCTGTTCATCAGTTGAAAACAGATTGATGGATCTACCTTCAATTGCTCGAACCTATTTTACTCATTGCCCTCGTTTATCAGCGCACCACGACTGCGTTTCCTACTCCTTCCCACTTCCTCTAATTTTATGAGGCTATCGGTGCCATTGTGAAAGAGCTTTAGAAGATTATTCGATCGAAATTTGAACTTCCTTTTGAATTCGTAATTTACGGCTAGTCTACAGAATCCAGGATGGAATTTGAGGTGAGGTAAAGCACGTCTGAGACTCGTACTTATGCTTCAGCGATCCTGTAGACGTAATTATTGAGTGAATTCACTTAGTCATGTTCATCTTCAGTACAATTAAGTCCGGGTTGCGGTCTGGTGCTTGTACAGCTTATGTCCTCCCAGTGCTGTTCCGCCCATATCTGCCTTACAAGTACGTAAGTATAAAAATGCTCGTGTTATGCACATTTTAACATTTCCATGTTTGAGAAGCACTAACAATGACAATTTTTTTCCTTTATATACAATTACCTTGCATTGTTCTGAGTTTGAATAACAATCGAAAAGCGAGGAACTCCCACATAGGTCATGGCATAACCACATAGAATTATTCAACCAGGAAAAAAAAAGCAAAAAAAAAGCTCTGACAAAATTGTCTGCCAAAACAACAAGGTCTTGCGAAGACCTAGAATAACGACAACTACAATAAATTAACGTACAACACTTGATGAATTCTTTTAACAATTAGGAGCACTTCAGCGAGTTCAATCGCCGCCAAGCTCAACTATTCTCCAGACAACATTTCGAGAAGGTGCTTGAGCTATAAATGTATGGGTTCTGGGGATTTTCCCGGCAGTAGCCCGAGTAGAAGGCCCACTTAACAAGATGGGGGCTTTTCCTGGAATGACATCTACATCAAAGTAGCTCACGCTGACAGGATGACCAATCTGTGCAGTGACTAGCAATTCCAGCGATGACACTTCCAGTCCATCAAGATGTGCCAGAAAATCGCCATCCACTGTGAAGTTACCCAGATTCCTGCGATTACCATCATGATATCTAACAGAAACGACCGTTTCGGGTCCAAATCGGCCAAGTGGGGCAGGATCGACACCAGAGATTATTAGGATTCCTGAAATGAGAAACTATCAATACTAGGTACATAGGAAAAACCTGGTGTGCCGATAATTTCATTTCGTCTTAGGGAAAAGGATTGAGATACAGTCTCTTCCTTTTAAAAATTTCTTCCGAAGCATTTATGCAGAGGATGAGTATATACAGTACTGGTCAAAAAAAAATCACCTTGAACCTTTTTTTGTCATAACTCATCTCTGACTCGATGTTTTTGACTGATTCTTTTACAGCAGCTTCTTCAAATATCACCGACTTTCCTGCAAAAAAAGACGCGGGAGCTTACTTCCTTTTTTTTGGACGGCTTTTTTTCAAAAAATTGCAAAATCGGCCTGTTTTAAGGTGGGTTTTCCTGGAATTTTTCCCGAGTACAAACCGCTCGAGTGTTCTTTTTTCCAACAGTAGGTCTTTTCCAGTAATGGGACGAACATTAGGATCTCGCTCTCTGACCGAAGAACAGCTTGCCGCGATTGCCAGAGGCAGAATGCAAGGATTGACCCATGCTCAACTTTTAGAGCAGTTTGGAGTGTCGAGGCCTACAATTAAAGGCCATCGGAAGAATTAAGGCTCGTGGAGGCCCTACCAAACGAGCCAGCATGAGAAGGCCACGGATCACCACTCCTGCGGACGATAGAGAGATCATTCGTGCGTCGCGTCAAGATCCCAGGCGGACATCTTCCGATATTATGGCAGAAGTATCGACAACGATGACGCCGCTGCCATCTCAAAGCACCATCAGCAGTCGTTTGCGGGATGTAGGATTGCATGAGAGAAACCGAAGAAACCTCTGGTTCCTCCAAAAAGTAGACGAGCTCGACTTGACTGGGCGCGCAGGCACCTCCACTGGACCCTGGACCAATGGCGTGAAGTCATCTGGAGCGACAAGTGAAAGTTTATTTTGTTTGACTAGTAATTATTTAGGTTTTAATCTTATGATGATAGCGCTTAAGTTAAGTGATTTATTTTGATTTGTAAAACTGGTGTTATTTTGACCTGTTCACATAAAATGTAAAAAGTGGCCTTTCAACTGAAATAAAAAGAAGTTCCGTGAATTCCATGAGTGATTAATTAAGAGTTATTACCGCAGTCAACATACCAAAAGATCAGTCAAAAACATCTATTTCGAGATGAGTTATGAGAAAAAAGGCCTAAAGTGATTTCTTTCTGGCCAGTACTGTATCTTCGGCATTCAAAACAGTAGCTTTTTTTGTAGCTAAATGTAATGCAGCCGTATGGAAGATGATTGCATACCAACAATTCTTGCTGGAACTGCAAAGTCGACAGTCAGGTAGTCGCCTGCTCCAATTTCCGTGAACCACATATACTCATGGCTGTTATAGGCAGCTTGAGCTGTATGCTGTAGAACTTGTATCATTGATGTCCTCAGGATTGCCGGTGGATTGACCGGATTTTTCTAAAACTCTACATTTTTTAATACAGATTAACCCCCTTCCTTTGTAGAATTTATAGAAGCTAGTCTGTGGCGCTCTACTTGAGCGGTTTTAATACAGATTAACCCCCTTCCTTTGTAGAATTTATAGAAGCTAGTCTGTGGCGCTC